ACTTGCTGCAACGTGTAACTGGTGCCCTTTTATGAAACAATCAATTATCAATTATTAAAAATTGACAAAAGGTTCAAGTTCAGCTTGGAGAATGTAAGCAAAAAAATACCCCTTTATTAATTCTACAGTACATTCATTTTGTTAATCTATATCCCTCTCTCGATTTTACTCTAATTATTTCTTTTCACAGCTAAATGAAGAGAGCAGTACCTGGAAATAGATACAAAAAAACCTAGTTATGGCTGTGATTTAGATATCCATCCATCCAGTTATAGAATAGACAAAACTTTGCGACATGAAGTTCAGAAAACATAGTTTTCTGGAATAGTTTTTAATTTGGTTATCAAAACAAAACAAAAAACACAATCAACTGGAGAAAAAACACCTTTTTTTTTTAGGACAGATCAAGACGAAAGATCTCAAATCGTCAAATTAGTCAAATGCAAACAGAATCTCACAGGCTCAGTGAAGATGAAAGCAAACGAGGGGAACAATGCCACGGACGCAGCGGCGCTGCCGTCACACACAGATACAGTTCACAGGCAGCGGCCTCTGGTATTTAGTCCTTTATATCAGCTGAAGCGCTTTGATTACGCACGTTTCTCCTCTTTCTGCGAATCCAATCATTACTTCGCACTTCCTCTCATGTCTCTATTTCTGTCATTGCACCTCACCTCTCCCTATCACCTCTTCCACACTGTCAATCCCTAACGGGAGGCCCGTGATTACGTTGGTATACACAATTACATAGAGATTGTTCCCACATAACAGCAAGGGATGTGTGTAAACCCACGACGACGACGATGATGATATTTCCTTATTCTTCTGCGTCCGTGAATATGTAATTACAAAAAGACTGAGCAGTGCGAAGCAATCTGTCGCCCCACCACAGGCTGTTAGTCCGAGCTATAATCTGCCGCGATGACGCTCGTCACAGCCTGTGAACGGAGGTGCTGCGGGACAATGCTCAACCGCTCTGTGCCAGTGTGCCATTACAGAGATGACATCATTCCACTGCAGCACTTAGCGCACACACACACACAAGTATCATTTACGACTTCTCAGTTCTCAGCCACCCCTCCCCCCGTCTTGGATTCATCCTCGTGTGGCCAGCAGCAATTAGTGTGTGTGTGTGTGTGTGTGTGTGTGTGTGTAGAGCCAGAGCTTAGATAATGTGTAGAGATACGGCGAGCGATCGAGATGAAGAGAAGCCCTATCACATCCATCAGCGGAGCGGTGTTGGTGCCGGGGGAGGAGGTGGGGGTGAGAAGCCCACTAATGGCCATATCTCAACAGATCCATCACGTCTCCATCTTGTTTACACTTTAAACCCCTCATCACGTATTGATGACTCACCGCTCATTAGCCAGTTGGTGCACGTGTGCGCGCGGCGCCCCAGTTGTGTGCGTATGTGCACGTGGGGAGAAGAGAGCGAGACAAGTGGGGTGATTCAGGGGCGTAAATACAGCGCGGGCAGTGAGGGAGGCTCGCAGAAAGAAGCGGGACCTCCAACAAAGTCTCCCTCCGGCAACGGGCGGCCATTTGTGATCGTTTTCGGGTTTGGCGTGCTGTTTACACTGTATGCCTGGGTTTAGAATTACTGCACAGAAGTTGTAAGTAGAGTAAGTGCTTTTATATTTGCCTTTGCTAAAGTCAAAACAAGTATGTTGAATTGTCTGTTTGATCATATTGCGAGAAGATGCCATATTTGTTAGCTAGTCCTGATAGCTTGCTCTCTACTTTCCCAACACGATATCATTGCCGGATGAACTAATTTCACCATTAAATCCAACACTTTGTTGTATTTTAATATGTGTGTGCATGATGGATGGATGGTGGAACAATTCAACAGGCCTGGGTGCTACTTATAGCTCTATATTTGGTCGTCTTCATGTCAGAACCAACTCGTCATCCAACCTGTCATTATGACTCAGCGACTTCACATCCTCCAGTCTGGTCGGGCGGAGTCGGTCTCTTGTTATCAATGCTTTCTGTTGTGTTACATTCAAGGTTTGCTTTCAGGCTTTTCATATCTTTTATTTGTGGCTTAACTCATGAGGTCCATCAGCAAATAGACTTGGATTAAAAGACATGACCTTTAGTCATAGGTCACGAGGTTTGAGAAAGGACTACAAAAGGACATATTACAAGATATAGTAGTAAATAGTATAGTATAGTATAGTGTGTCCAGGAAATATGCGTCTGCCATTGTTGGTTTGCACGTAAATGCTAAACAACTTTACTCAATCAAGCAACACACAAGGTTCCAAGCAATCTGATGACCAGAGCCCGACCGATTCCAGCTTTACTGATCAATACAAGATTTACTGGAGGCTGACACCAATATCAATAGCTGAGAATTAAAAAAAATCCAATAATAATATATACGAACCGATGTACGGTACAGCTCTGTAATTGTCATTTATTGGCTTACATATACCACGATATTGATATCTGCAGTAAGCGTCTACTATTTACCGCGACTTGTTCTCCCGTCAGGTGATTGAACGTCTCCTTCTGTGGTCGCGGATCCGTCGTGAAGGGTGAAACTGTGACTCAGTCCCGGACGCCGTAACATAATACATCGCGACCCAGAAGCTCATTGCATTGTTTGCCCGATTCCAGAAGTCTGAATCACTGCCCATAACTCTTGTGTCGCTTGTCAAACGGGTCTGCTGTCGTGCGTCTGTCCCTCTAACAGGTGGCAATTATACAACTGCACTGACAAAGTCAAAACAAAACTAGGCCATAAAAAACACGACATTCTATTTCACTTCTCGTGCTACAGTACGTGAAATGACACGACACTGCAATGTCCTGCATGGCCACAGGCACCTGCTGGTCTCCGTGCTTCATGGTTTCACAGGTCTCTAAAGCTTTTTAGTGTCAGTCAGAAACCATAAAATGTGAGTGCGGACGAAGACAGCGGGCGAACACACAGAAAAAAGTTTACTACGACATGGCGGGAAATCTGCGGGCGAGACAACGAGCAGAATGCCGGGACGGACAGCAGACGGGTGCTTATTTTACCGACTATAAAACAAAATCTCCGCATAGCTTTGGAATGTTTCTACTATATCGAATGTAAAATCAAAGCAACAGTTGGAAAGCAGCGTTTAGTTTCATGTCAATTTATAGTTAAAAATAATGCATATCATTGGCCGGCAGTTGGCTCAAATTCACTGTATTTTGAATCTGGGTGTCGTTGCTCTAAAATGAGAGTTCAGAAGAGTTTGCAGCGGACGAGTGACCTCAGTGAACTCACATGGACTGACGTGACTGCAGCCAGACCAGACGAGTCACGGCTATTGAAGTGCGGGTTTTGGTATTTGTAGTTCTTTCGGTCACGAGGCATGTTTGTGGATTTTGGAGTCTGCAGTCAACTTGTGAGCTTGTGCAGCGTCTGTTTGGATGAGACATTTTCATTTCTAAATGATCTATACATGAATGTGTGCCTGATTTTGTTTGTTTGAGGCTCTTTTGTATATTTGGGAGATAAAAGGAAAGGGTTGACCTAAAATACCTGACACATGTCCTGGGTTTGGAAACAATGACAAACAATGTGGGTATGAATGTAACAAACTGTTTACGTCACTGCCCGGGTTTCACATTTTTTTTTTTTTTTTATGACACTGACAAAGTGAATCAGAGGACTGTTTCAACAGAGCTGAATTGCTAGGCGACCGTCTGGGTCCATGTTTACTTCCTCTCAGGTGATGTTCACAAATAACGTCATCCTAATTTTGCGTACGTCCCAGACTTTGTTGCCAGTTCTGTTGAAGTGAATGTGGCGGCGTTGCTAGTTCCAGGCCATTTTTTAGGCCTCTGCTCAAAAATGGCATACCCATGATAACAAAAACCTCATCCCTGATCTAATTAACTAATTTGTCCATCTGGAGGAATTTTGCTGTCGGGATAAAGGGGAACATCTGTGGATGGGATCTGATGTGTAAATATCAGTATATATGTTACTGGTTAACAAATAAACGAAGATGGCACACACACATAAAATTAAATTATTTAAAAAACACACACACAAATGGTTTTGATTGTAACTGTTGGGCTTAATGATACGGTCGGGTTGGGTAAATACAGGACCGTATGCTACACTGCCTGCGGTTTGCCTCGTACTAGTTTCAGTCACAGGACATCTTACACAACCATCAGCTATTGTGACTATTATTAGAGCATTAGAGGTTTTGTTCTATTGACAAGTTGTCCAAGTTAAAACATTGAAATTCAACTACATTTTTTACAAAGTATTTAGTTATTTAGTAATTTATCCTTTTTAACGTGGTGTAGTAACAGCTTTGAGGTGCAGCATATTTTAAATAAAATTACATTGAAATGATCAAAAATGCTGCCGGAAAGTCCCTAAAAAAAAGTCTCCTGTCAACTAACGTCATACGATACTCACTGAAACACACACTGAAACACACCTTGTTTACACTTGCTAACATCACCTGGCCTAATGTCTTCATGATAACAGGCCTGACCTCTGGCAGAAGGGAAAGCGACCTCTTGGCTTTTCTCAGCAGGCGGGAGGTAAGACGAGCGGCCTGGTCCGGGTCTGAGTTACCATCTCAGACGTCTGACTAACCCCCATTCCCGACTGCTCCCCCTCTCCCTTTTCCTGCTTACGTTTCGCAACAACCGAAGAAAAGGCCCCCGGGCCTGGTGTCGGGTATCGGGAGGGCTGCTGTACGTCTGCTCTGTTTTAATGCAGCCTCACACAAAACAAACGTTGTGCAAGAGGACTTCCAGGAACTTGAGAGGAACACAGAGCTGTTTTGGTGTTTGGATCCCACCAGACAAAGAGACTTGTCTCCAGAAAAACACCAGGCGAGATCACCAGGGAATTAACATCCCACGTACGGAAGGCGAGAGCCGTAACGTTTTCTTTATCCGGCTGAACATCTGTCTCACACTCATGAAAATGATCCGTCACTAATGCTTTCAATTCCTTGACAACGCAAAAATCATTTCACAAGAACATGGAATGGGTGTGGAGCCTCACCAAGCTTTATTTACATGCGCACCATTTCTTATACAAACTAGATTACAATTAAAAATGGAATACACAGGAAAAATACCAACTAACATCAAGTCGAGAAGAAGCAAGATTAATAAAGGAAACAGCTCAGAGGACGTGAGGGGGGCAGCTGACCTGGACCTCTAGAGAATCATGAAAAAGTTCCAAGAGAAGTTAATGAAAAGGGAACATCGAAGGTGATTAAGGTATCTAGTGGTATGTTTACTTCTATTTTTTTTGCTTTTCTTAGCTTTAAATTTGCACGTGACGTGCTGCAGGTGTGTGTGTGCGTGTGTGTATGTGTGTTGAGCACGAGGAGATAATCTGTGCATCAATGAAGCAGTAGCACTGAGTGGTTGTGTGGAAGGCCTGCTCCACTATGACAAAGTGTAAACTACCTCCCCGAAGAGCCAAAGCATACACAACGTATGTATGTTTTATCAGGGATCAATAACCCCTCTTTAAGTAGAACGGGCTTTTATGTTGTCAGTCCTGTTCACGGGACTAGTCGAGTGCTTCTAGCATTTAGCGCTGTCATCGTGAATAAATCCAAATGCCTAGCAGTGACGGCTCGGGGGTTTCCATTCCAAGCACGTGTGATAAATGCTTTGGAGATTTTTAGATGTGACAAGGGTGTAGGAATCTCCAGCGCGTTGTCAGATGGGGCTTCTACCACATCAAAATGACCAGCAAACATTCTGCGAGCACCGGGACGTTAACCTGCTGTACTCCACGTGGAATAAAACAAGTGTGAAGCCGAGGAACGTCCGTTGAGGAGGATTTCCCTGTGTCTGCCTTGATGTGCACACACTCGTAACAATAAACCCTTTAACGCGGGAGGACTCAGCTTTGTTAGCCCCGATTTAAAAAAATAGAAAGTGTGTGTGTGCTTAAGTGCTAAAGACACAGGGTTCCTCTGTGATTTACAATTTCTGTCGCAGGACGGCACCATTGGAAGGATGTAGGGGTACAGCTAGGTCATGCACTAAACCTCAGATAGCACAGTAGATCATTCTAGTCAACCGTGCACACACACACACACACACTCCTCCGACCTTGGCTTCAAAGGGATATACACACACATCTGTACACTATTATACACAGCGGGGCATACACTTCATGTTGCCACCCCGGACAGAGAGAAGGGATCCCAGGATGCCCAGATGCTACAACAACGGTGCTTTCCACCATTTGAAAAAAAGAAAAAAAATCTGGTTCAACAATTAAATTGCTGGTAACAGTGTTCCTTCCTACGGGGGGATGTAACTTTGTTCATTACTTCTTCAACTTTACCTTCAGAGGTTTCATGAAATCCAAGGGGGTCAAGTACTACATGAGTATATAAGTACAGCGAGTATATATGCATTTCACACGTTTTCATAATGCATAAACACATGCACGCGTACAGTCGGCTGTGCTGTATGCAGCATGAGGGATAGTGAGGGATTACACATCCTTGTGAGATTAAATCAACAGAAATAAATTCCACAGATAATCACGTACACGCACGCACATAAACATGTACTCGGGAGGTACGGGGAAATCACCTGGAGGAGCACCAGGCGTGTCCACGAGGGGGGATGTGTGTATGCGCGTCACAAGTCCGACAAGGAGGAAAAAAATAAAAGCCATGACAGCAAAAAAAAAAAAGAAAAATAACGGGCCGCGTGATGTCTTAATCCTGACGTTTCTTCTCCTCCTCCTTCATCTTGGCGGCCAAAGTTCACAGGTTACAAGTTCACAAACACAAAGCACTACTGTTTTCTATCAAGAAATGTTAAAATACCATTAGAATGTGACTTGATGTTACTTAAAATGGGAAGCCTCCCTTTCCCCCCCTGAGTGATTCTATATATGCATATGAAGCCTCACACGCCCGTGACGGGAGAACAGCAGAGCTTAACACAGATCCCTGGTATTATTTCTTCTACGTGTGTGCAACAAACGTGTGTGTGTGTGTGCTTGTCTGTTAGTGTGTGTCGTGATTTGGCTGCCAGCATATCCTACTGTTTGTTTCAAGTAATTTGGCAATATACAGAGATAGCTTATTATTGTTGTACTCAAGAAACAAATGGCTTCTGGAGGAATGAGCCGGAAACCCTGCGCCCCCTCCCTGCCCCCTCCTCCACCCGCCACCGTCTGCAGGTTCAACCTCGCCGTGCTACAAATGGCTGCAGCTTTGGGCATCTGCAGAATGAGGGTGAAAAACAGAAAAAGAAAAAGACCAAACGAAATGCACGGCTTGCTCTCTCCGGGTCGGGCTCAACACTGTTTACAAAGCACCTGTAATGGTGTGGAAATGTTCACAACCCCCAGGACACAGGTAATCATTTTGCCTACATCATATGCAGTGATAAAGCCATCTGACAAAATCTTTACCTGTCTTTCTTGAACTCTACACCACTCTGGACTGTACAAATATCCATGACAAAGATTCTCTTTCTCTCGTCTTTTTTTTTTCTTCAGTTTTTACAGTTAGATTACAGATTTACAGATATTTCCTTTCGTTTTTTAATTGTTTTTTTTACAAATGATAGCAAATATTATTTTAAATATTCAGCTAATGGTAATTATAGCCCTCAGTATGCAACTTAATTTAATTGAAGCAACAGATTTGGAAGTGCATGGCATTGAGTTGAGCAGTTTTGACTCGTACGGGTCCTGGCGATTTGCAAACTGGGGCAAAGAGTCGGTCGGTCTGTTGGTGTGTTTGCATGTACGTAAAGATACTCCACGTTCATCTTTCCATTTCATCAACACACCGAAGACATGTATGATGCAGACAACAATGACAAGATAGAAAGTCCCCAAAACAAACACTGAACATTTAAAACACCAAAAGAGAACAGAGGGATATTGTTTTTTCCACAGAACACATCCCAGGAAACCCCTGGATCAGATTTACACCACGGCACCTCTGGATCTTTTCACTCTACACTTTGTTTTTGTCTTTATTTTTGTTTTCAAAGGAAACAACTCCTTCAAGCTTTGCTTTATATTAAATCCTTGTATATCACCCGAGACACCCTTCTGATGAATCTGTGTCTCTTTGATGTCCACAGACTGAGCGTCAAAGGAGAATTGCATAATTTGTGAGTTTTACATTAACTTCCTCGTTGTTGTTGTTGTGGTGGTGGTGGTTTCACAGGAGGCTTCGAGGGATGACGTGCAGCGTCTCTGGAGTTTGTCCGATCGTCCGTGGTTCATCAGTGTGGGAGCCGAGGTAAAGCTCTCGTGAGAAAATCTTCTGTAAACACACGGTTCGTATCTTTACGTTGTGCTGATGGCAGGTTTGGCAAAAAGGATGTTGTGTGTCTGATCTTCTTTTGCACTACTTAGTTCAGACCTGGAGAAATAAAGAACGAGATTATTACGACTGCATGTTCATGCTGTAATAACTGAAAGCAAGAAAAAAAATAATTTCTGTTTATTAACCAAATGTCCCCAATCCAGCTTTTTTGTCCGCTGCATTAATCCAATGTGCTTAAAGATACCACGGGTACTTTCCTCATGTCGCTCACAATATATGCATTTTGGGAACTTTACTGTGAAACCATGAATGTTTAAATTAACTTTTACAGTTTCCATAAAAAGTAAACACATTTTGTGGGAGAAGCTTTGTTGTTTATGGTTGAAGGAAACAGTTGAAGTGGTTTTGGGAAAGGACTCAGACTTGTGTAATTATGCTGAGAGAACTGTTTCCATGTGGATTTACAGCACAATGAGTGAAGCATTGACTGTCATTAAGGTTTAAGACAGCACGAAATGAAAACAATATCAGTTCACTTCCAGAAAGCATGTTGGTGGATGAATATTTACACTTCTAGCACACCGTCATATAAAATTTACCGATAAGTAAATCCCTTTTTTCTAAAAAAAGGTATCGTATTTCTACTTGGCATTACATTACGTTTCGTAATTCAGTGAAAAAAGGTGCATCGCCAATACAAGGCTGTGCTCGTGCACACGACCCCCGAGCATACACACCTGCTCTGCTCTCCCCCGGCCCCGGCGCCTCAGCCGGGCACCCCGCTCTGAGAGGTCTGCTTGGTGCTCGCTAAGCTGCCGACTCCGTTCATGTTGACCAGAGAGTCAAAGTTAAAGTCCAGGCCGTCCGCCTCCATCATCAGCTCGTTCCTGATGATGGAGTCCACGTCACACTCCAGGCTGCTGCTGCTACACGTGAACATGTCCAGGTCCAGATCTGTGGGGAAACGGTCCTGGCACATCCCTCCGCTGCTGCTAATTGTCCCGTTTAGGAAGATTGAAGTGTCGATCTGCATGGAAGAGGAACCATTTCCTCCCAACGGGGAAAGCAGGAGGTGTGGCTTGGCATTAGCCAGTGCGTTAGCCTCGTTGGCTAGGTTCAGGCCTCCGTTCAAAGACCGCAGGTTGTGGTTGTTACTCGGAAGAATCTCCACTTGGCTACCCTGAAGTCCACCAGTTACGCCGAAGGTCATGACGGGATCATTGCGGAGCATGAGGCCCCGGCGGGAGTTCTGCGATATGACGGCGGCGGCGCTGGCCTGCGACATCAGCGGGTCGGACTGGGTCATCATGACGTCGCTTCGGCCGTGGCTGTCCGAGTTGAGCAGGTCTTGTAGCGTCTGATTGCCAAAGCGAGAGAGGCCCGAGAAGGACGTCTGCTTGTTCTCCTGGATGGTCTGCATGGGGGCCGGGCGCAGGGAGGAGCCTGGCGCGTGGGGGCCAAAGATGGAGTTGGCGTAGCCGTTAACGCCACCGTTAGTAGAGTTGGTGGACGGAGAAGAGTGGGTGGAAGGTGAGCCCAGCCCGTTGGGTTTAGACACAAAGTTGAACACGGAGGAACCGCTCGGAGCCGCCGCCCCCGTCACGGTTGGCACCAGGTCGATGTTATCCAGCAACTCGTCCATCAGGTCGTCTTTGAGTCCGTCGTTCAGGTTCATCGTACCCGCCAGGTCTGCGAGGCGGGGAAGCTCAGCCGGCGCGGGCTTCGCGCCGGTCGCGGCGTTGCCCGGAGACAGCGCCGTGCCGGGGCTGGAGTACAGCATGGGCGAGAGAGGAGGCTCCTCGTCGGGCACCTCGTCCAGCTCAGGGTTGGCCAGAATGGGCGAGAGGCGGCCGCTCACTGTGCTGGCGTTGGAATTAGTGCGGGAGCGGAAGTCGGTCCAGGCGTCCAGCTCCTCGCTGCTGCGTGACGTCGGGCTGCCGGGCCACTTGGAGAGACCCGACGGACTGTCTGCGCCGCCCTCGCCGGCGGCAGCGGCGGCCTGCAGAGCCGCCTTCTTCTTGGCGGCGCGGCCGCGGGCCGACTTGGTGTACTTGTTGCTGTTGTCCATGGAGACGGCGCGGCGGCGAGGAGCCTTCCCGCCCTTGCCTCCCTCCGGGTTGATCATCCACCAGGAGCTCTTCCCCGTTCCCTCGTTCTGCACCCGGATGAAGCGGCTGTGAAGGGAAAGGTTGTGCCGGATGGAGTTCTGTAACGCAAAAGGAAAGGAAGAGAATGCGTCAGGTGATGTGTTTAAAATAACTCTCTCAAACAATGATTTCAGTATTGGTTTCTTTCGGTTATATTTTCCTTTTACCAACACAATATTCGAAGAATATATTAAGTCCAACAATCATTAACCCATAAACAACCCAATACTATGCATTCTGCAGCAATGTCAAGTTGCTCTAGTGATTAAACACACTGAAATCAAATCAAATAGTTTAAATTGTTCACTGAATAGACAGGAACACGTTAACGTATGGCAGCGCTTGGCGCGGATGTCCACGTTGTTCCCCTGTAGCGCTTATAAAGGAGACAGTGGTCTATAATCTAGCCTCTCCTCTATTATGAATGACGCGTACAAAGAGGCCTTCTTTCCCAAGGAGCTCGTTCTGTGTTGCATCACGTGTGTTTGCAGGCAAGTCTTGTCTGGTTTGTATCGATCAACTCGCCCCCAGAGGCTCACAACACAGAACCAAGGCAATGTGAGTTGGTTGCACCACCACTTCGGTTTTCATTGTTCCCAGATGATTACGCTTGATGCAATACTTTGTGTTATTAACACCAGCTGTGTATCATAAATGTTAGTTTGTTGCATGCAAAGTGCGTTTAACATCAGCGTGTTAGCATTATCATTGTGAGCAGCTCAATGAAGCTCACATCACCACTAGCGTGGCTGTCGTCTCTTAGGCTTGTTGACTTATGACGTGTGAAGAGATTTTTATGGGGCCTATTCCCATATACAAATGTTTTTAATGTGAATTTGCCAACATTTCTCCCATTTGGATCCAACTTGTGTAACCGTTGACACTGTGCAGTCTCACAAATAATTGCAGTGCTAATCCAGGACGTTAAGAGAGCTGGATTTAAATCATTAATGATGAACAGGGATTGTAGGTTGTATCTAAACCTCAAGAAAAGTGTGTCGAGGGAAACATTTTCCTGTTTCATGAAACTCAGCGCTATTCTTAGAGGCGTAGTTCTTGTACGTGTTATTGTTGCGGGCCATTATTGGTTCCCATTTGCACAATAGACAGCAACTCCGTCAATAGTCTTCTTTAATAATCAATTAGTGAGTTCAATTCTCCATTTTCCTCCACGTCCAACAACCTTGTTGAATAATTTTTTTTTCCCAGCCTCCTCTCTTCATACCTCCTTTGCAGTTTCTGTTGTTTCACAAACACGCTGCTCTTACGAGCCCCGAGGAACTCTGGGGCGATGCTATATCCTCCCATCTAAACAAGCCAACCGCCATCCGCAACATGCACGCATTCTTCCCTCTATTCTCCTCCCTTGTATATTTTCACTCCCCGAAATGGAAACAATTCCTGGGTTCCAAATGGCGAAGGCCAAAATCATTGAGTTTTTTTCTGGGAATCACAATATTGTTTTGCATGGAGCGGCCCCCGTCTCTCCTGAGCAACGCACTGCCGATAGTTTAGGATTGTTTTTCTGGTCAAAGGCAGTTCAATCAGAGAGGAGAAATAGAAGCTTAAGTTACCGTTGCGAACGCCGTGTTGGCAGAGTTAAAACTCGGATCTCTGGGGCCCAACTAAACCTGTGACCCCGTGTGAGTGCTCACATTTCAGCACGCATCTGTGGCTTTCAGATGGTTATTTGGACATGCCTGGATTTTCCATTTGCAAAATGTTTTAAAAAAGGGACGTTGTGCTTTTTCCGCCCGTCAGCAAACCCATAGAAATTTGCACGTAATCATGAATGGTTTGTGTATACGTGAATGTGCATTCCCCGAGTGTGTGTATTCTGTGCAATGAGGTAAGAAGAGACACCAGGGGGACCAGTGTTTATCCGCCCGCATCTCTCGAGGCGTGACGTAAGGCCGCTTTATTACGGGACATTTCACACACAGACATGCACGCAGCACACATACCAGCTGAAATGTTTCCAGCTGCCAGAGAGATGTAAATACAGGCAGGAGATATTTTGTTAAGGAAAAACGAGAACTTTTGGAGGGATGAGTGAGAGCGGAATGAATGGAATGCGAGTTTCCTTCTCGCGCTGCTGTAAACATTTACCTGCCAGCTCCCGACACTTCATCAATCGCTCTCCCATGCTTCATCCGCCACCACCTTTATCCCCACTCCCTCCACCCAACAAAGCCACTTGTTTAATGTTTCTCTTTTCCGTGCCACCGATCACATCTTTCAAATGTCAGGGAGGATATTTCTAACTCGGCTTGATGGAGCGGCAAAGAAGGAAACGGGACATCTGCAACCGAGGCACGGACAGTGATGAATAGAAGGAAAAAAAATGGGATGCCAAGTGAAAATGTGTGAGTGATGGTGAGAGAGGGTGAGAGGACGATGACTGCAAGATGACAGAAAGGAAACTGGTATAATTAAGTCGAGTGGATGGTAATAGTAGATCCTCACACACACACACACACACACACACACACACACACACACACACACACACACACACACGCTCATCCTCACAAACCGTATGATTATTATTGTAATTCCGGACATTTCAAAGATATACGTTTGATAAAGTTTTTTTTTTTTTTACAGAAAATATAATTCTTACAGGGTTTAAGTACCATAAACCAAAAGATGTTCACCTTCATGTAATTGGGATGAAGCACAAGATGTTGCCAAACGAACAAACACACTTGTGGTTCTGTGAGTTGAGCTTTATTATTTCAGTGGACCGGGCTGTTAATCTTTTGTGTTTTGACAGTTCCTTTGCTTCACATTTCATGGAGACATTCAGGCTCTCCTGCAGACCGCAATGTCTACTTTCTGGCTGCCATGGTTCCTACTAATGACAAAGCCAAACATATTATTTACATTCTAGGAGCTCACTGAACTTCAAATGTGTGCGGTCATAATTAGCGTTATGGTAGGAAACTCAACGTTCCTAATTAATTAACTTTGCGCTGTCTGGCACGCTAACCGACACACCCAAGATGTAGCAGACCTATTACGTAGAATCCTGCTGCTCAATGCTGTCATGCTTGTAGCTCCCCTGTTACCTCTGTGTTCCCTGTGCATGTTCGGTCTTTGGTGAGATGTTCAAGCACTTTCTTTTTGCTTTTACTATTTTAAGTTACTATGAAGTAAAAAATACTTAAAGTCAAATTTATTTGACTTGATTACATGCTGAAATTGAGAATACTCCAGAAGGAAGGCAGCTGAAACGTTCGTACCTTCTACCAGGCAGGTATTGAGGAACTTATAATTTGATTCCACGCTTGATTTACTCTTTTTACCACAGCTTAAATCACACATTGAAAGCAGCCTCCATACTAACATTACTTTACTAAAATGTGGGCGTCTCAGAGGTGGAAGAAGAGTCTCCAAAGCCTCTCGGTGTACAAAATATTTGGTCTCGTCTCATAATTGAAGTAGATGTAACAGCTGAAATAAAAAATAAAAAACCCAGATGTTATCTGAAGAAGCGCTTCAGGTGTAATTTATGTTGTTCCGTGTTTTGTTACTGGCAGAACGTATGTCCTCTATGAGTTTGTGTTTGTTTGTGCCACGTGTCAGTGCGAGGGGGATGCTGTCGCTCCGCTGGGATACGCCCGAAGCACAGCGGCTCCGAATCATTACTCCTTCCATGCTGCAACAGGAGCCTAATAACACAAACACCTTTTTTCCCCCTTTAAGACCTAATTAGTCACCTCCTCCTCATTCGCTCTCAGTTGAGCATTTACCGACCCTGTCTCACCGTATGTTAGTGAACTAACTTTGGATTTTTCACCAAATGTCTTCAGGAAGATTGACCTCACTTTCATATCATGTTGGGTTAGATTAGTTTACAGCTTTTAAAGTTCACAGCAAACACAACAGATTTCAAGAAGTCACTGAGCCTGGCCAAGAAATATTTTTTCTACAAAATAAAATAATCAAGAAATAACGTGTCAATTAGAGGTGGATTTTGTTATTTTTATACAGTCGGAAAAATAGTTTTGCCAATCTTTCCGGATTTTGTGCAAAGGTTACTCGCTGCAGCTGTAGCTTCATATTGAGTGTACACAAATTAAAGTCTGATCTTCTCATCGTGTTCCCGGCACAAAAGCGAACACATGAATTTCCCCAAATATCAAATTATTTCTTTATTGGGTCCAGAACAGCGGTGCAAGGAGTCAACTGTTCAGAAAACTGGTTGTGCAGCTTCACCAGCGTATTTGAAGCAAACACAGAGAAAGCCAGACAAAGCTGAGCTCGCTTTGTGAGACAGTCCCCAGCTGTATGTGTGTGCGTGTGTGTGTGTGTGTGCGTGCGTGTGTGTGTGTGCGCCAGCTGCAGCCAAAGCTCAGGAACACAGAGGCCTTTTTGTCCGTCAGCAACATGTGGGAACAATTAATCACTGTCGGCAACCACGCTAGGAATCTCCTTTCCCTCATTATTCTCATATTTGAAGGTGCGTTGGCGGGAACTCATATATTTGCATTTGTGTGTCAGTCTAAATGAAGAAAGTGTGTGTGTCTGTGTGGACTTTTTCGTAAGGGAGTGTTTTAAGAAGATATCAAAGTGATGTGGGGGAATGATATCTATGCACCCCGTATGCATGTTTTAAATCAATGGAGATGAATACCTCAGACCCCTGGGCTTACTAGAGCAGGTTCTTCTGATTGGAGCAGATGATTTTCAGGGCGCTTCCTAATTGGTTGTAGCTGTCCTCGCTCCATCCGCGCTGATTGGTGGAGTGAAATTGCTTCGCGTAGCCAGGCAGTACAGAGAAGGGAGGGTCTGCACGGTGTTGCAAGTGTATTTCATCAGCCAGCTACAGCACGTACGCGAATGGACGGCCTGGGTCAGTTTCCCTTTGCCTGGTTCCTGTTCTCTCTGTGTGCCCGAGAGAATATTTGTACTGGTCAGCCCAACCCCAGATACAAATGCAGAGAAGAACACACCAAAAGGCCTCAACACACACACACACAAACACACACAAACACACACACACACATACATACAGACACACGACTACAGCTTGTGTGTTGTGCTCCAGGAAATC